CTCTCTCTCTCTGTGTGTCAGTCTGTCTGTGTGTGTGTGGCAGTGGTGGGTTTCAAAAAATTTTGGAACCTCTTCTATAGGTATGGCCTGTTTTCCGGGTCCACTGGTGGAACCTCTTCTAACCGGTTTGGTAGATTTGACGAACCGGTTCTACCGAATAGGTGCGAACTGGTAGGAACCCACCTCTGGTGGGGTGAGCCCATCCTTGCAACTACCGGTTCAGCGAACCAGATTAAAATTAACATCTGGTTCACCCAAACCAGTCCAAATCGGCTGAATCTCACCCCTGACTATAACCCTGATTCTATAGGCCAAAGGGGAAATGCAAATGTTATCTGAGCTAATCTTGTCAGCTTTGGTTCCTTGCCTGTTGGGTACTTATTTGGAGTTTCTGGTTGCTCTTTGCTTATGAAATAGAGTGGCCCAGTCTTTCTGAATGGATACGAAATCTCCATTCCTAAAGACTTCATGCTTTCTACTTGAGGCTGTTTTCCTATAGCAGGAAGATTGAGGATGCTTTCTGCCTTTAAGATGTCTCTCCTCTTTGTCTTCAGGGGAAATATTCTATTCTGCCCCTTTTGTAATATTAAGAATAAAGAATATTTTATTCTGGGGCGGTGAGGGACTTCCTACGATATCCTGACTGGTCTCAGAGACTTTGAACTGAATCACAGCTTTAAAATTTCAAATAATTGAATTTTGGCTGTTTCTGGGTAGCGGTCTCTCCATGTTGGTAAAAATGCCATTTCTCACCCCACAGTTTAAATTTATATGAATTAATCAAGAAAAATAATTTCCAAGGTTTTACTTTGGGATTGATTCGCCGTTTCACCCACTGCATCTTAAGATGTTTGCAACTCTTATACACGGAAAAAATTATCCACTGTGATCTGAAGCCTGTAAGTACCATCTTGTCAGTACCGGTGACGTTTTCAATAATTGTATGATGTTTGGGAATTTAAAACGTTTTGGTGTTAAGGAAGCACTTTTCAGAACATCAACAGACCCATAGACATAAACAACAGCTACCTACTGTGCAAAAGAGACAATCAACAAGCACAAAAGGGAACAAAAAGATCATACCACTTCCCAACTAGCAATCAACATCCAGATGAGAGTAAATTAATACCAAGATTAATATCAACCAAGAAGGGGCTGGGGGAATACAGTACCCAGAGATAAGACTATGAGATAGGAAGCCCCATGTCGCAAACTGTCATACAGATCCTCTCTCCAGTTATTATTTGGTGAGCTGAATAGGGGGGAAAAATGAAGATGTCAACAGTTTGTTAACCTGGTAGATGAAATGTACTGATATTTTCTCCCTTGGTCTTATTCTTTTTTTTTTATATTAAAAAAAATTCTTTAGGAAAACATATTAATGAGCCAATCTTCAGCTGGACAAATTTCATTCAAAGTTATTGATTTTGGATCGAGCTGCTACGAACATCAAAGAGGTTTGCGGAGTCAAGTAGATACAATTTTTTCTTTCTTTCTTGATTTTAATACCTTGAATTGATTTCTTAAAAAATTATCCTATAGATGTAAAGGCGATGTTGTCTCACTTAAAATGTTGACAGGGTAATCCTGTAGCATTTCCTTCTCTGGATCCTTGTCTCGGAGCTCATATAAGGGAGTCTGCCCCCGAGCAGCTATTTTTCTCATGAATACAGGTAGTTCTGGACTTATGACCACGATGGTAAGTGAATACTACCCCGAGGAGGACGTTGTCCTTCTCAGGTTGTTTCCTGCAGGACAGGGATTCTGAAATTCACTTGGATACTGGTGGGATATTTGAAAGTTCTCTTCAGGTTCTTTCACCCAGAAAGATGATGCAGGAGAAGAGCAGGCTGAGCTGAGAGGCAGAGTTAAGGGCGCCATCAGCTTAGAGCCATTACGTTGCCGCAAACGTTCCATGCCCGATCCCTTCTGAATTCCCTTAACTCTTACCTAGAGCCAATTTAGTATTGAACTTCAGTTGACCAGGTTCTCGTTTTATCGGCTTGAGCAATCAATCCTCTGAACTGCAACTTGATGCATGTTCCCGATCCTTTGCACCTGGCATTAATTTAGTCAGTCGCAACTCAGAAGATGTATCGCTCAAGCCTCTACACAAGAATCTAGTTAACTAAAGTTCAGCACTAAACTGTTGCCAGATAAGGGTCAATGAGGTGTTGGATTTAGACCGTTTGTGGCGACGTAAAAATTCTAACTTGATGACACGCTTAACTCCACCCCAGCTCTGCCTTCTCTTCTCCGACAGATATGTTCATAGGATGGGGCTTAGATCAGAGTTCCCCAACATTTTCAGCTTTGCGGACTAGCCGAGATGGGAGAGGGGGTGGTTCCGTGTGAGTGGCGAGTAAGCTTGTGCAGCTTCATTTGTGTGGGCAGCGGGCACGCATTCCTGCTCCTCATGCAAACGGAACATGTGTGCATGCGCTTGCCCGCTTTTTTGCGCAAGTGGGGATGGGTGCATGTCCACATCTGCCACTTCTGCAGGTTCTGAACAGCTCGAGACCCAGAGGTAGGTCATGACCCGGGGAGTTGGGGATCTCCTGGCCTAGATCTTGGGGTTCATAGGAAGGATCGGCTGTTTCTAACAAGGTTGGAAATGTTTGGCGATTTTGTGGGCCTGTAAGCTGCTGGCCCTTCCAGCAACCGAATCGGAGGAGGAGGAGGAGAAGAAGGAGGAGGAGGAGGAGGAGGAGGAGGA